GGCAGCAGCAGCAGGTCCTGATTATATGTGAGGCTGCTGTAATAATGAAGCTGGTCATTTCAACCAGGAAGAGCCCAAAACAAGTCTGTTTTAGATAATGCTCAGGGTAATGCTTTGTCTGCTGTAGAGACTATGCTTTTGATTCCAGGGGACCAAAACAGAGAATCAGCAGTTCCTCTTACATGAGAAAGTTACTGTAAATAAATTACATGTGGCTTGCTCCCACCTCACAAAGTATAAAGCAAGTAGAGCTTACCTATCACATCTCCTTGTTCATGAATCATCATCCCCAAGTCTTTAAATATTTCATTGATATCCATAATATCGGCCTATGGGAAAAGGCACAAATTTTGACAATCAGAAATGTAGTCTCACTCCACAAAAGGGGAACATTTAAAAACCTAAACTGCCACTTGTAAGTAAATGGGTGTGCCTCTGGGTTTAAGACATATGTTTTGGAAATATCAGGAAAATATTATACTGTAAGTGATGCTAACAAAATACATTTTGAGTAACAGCCACTAATTCTGTAACACAAGCTTGTGATATTAAACAATATCAAGTATAGGCCCACAGGTGGCATGGAGGTTAAGGCTGTTGGATGCTACATGGCCGACTGTATGGTTCAAGTCCTGGATCTGGTAGCTTGAAAATCACATTGGGCGTGGGTGTGTGTGTGTGTCCAAAATCCTGAGAGGAGAATGATGGGGAAGGGACTGGAACATTGCCATTCCCCCTGGAGGGTAATTTCTTACATTCCTTCGACATTTCTCTCTCTGGTGAGTGCACAAACTCTATAGCAAAACTAAAATAAATAAATAAGTAAATAAGTAATAATAATCAAGTAAACCAGGATGAAAATGAAGGCTTTTTAAAAAAAATTATTTATTTATTTTTTTGGGGGAGAAGTTTTTGCTATAGGGCGCATGCACTCGCCAGACAGACAGAGACAAAGAGACAGAAAGCGAGAAATCACCCCCCAGGGGGATGGCCATGCTGCAATCCCTTCTGCTCCATTCTCCTCTTAGAATCTTGGGCACGCAGTGTTTAAGACACCAGGTACAGGACTTGAACCACGGTCGATTACATGGGAGTCCAGCGACATAGCAATTATGCTAACTGCTGGTCCCAAATGAAGGGTTTTTAATAGTAAAAGGCCAAGGGCTACTGAGTTTATTTTATGCAATCTGACAGTTCTGCTATCACAAGTTGTATCTTTTTACAAGAATACATAATATTCTTATGATGTATTTCTAAAAATAATTATAGATCAGTTAGATAATTCAAAAGAATAAACTGTTAGGTGTAAATTTAAGGTCTCACATTAATAAATCTGAGTATGAACTGTATTGTAAAGTTGTAAATTTCACTACTGGATAATAAAATTATAGATTTATTGGCTAAAAAATTATGAATTTACTTTTTCCCAGTATATGAAAGCTATTAGTTTGCCCAATTAGAGAGTAATGTTTAAATGTTTTATTCAGGTGTGTGGGACAATTTACATATTAATCATGTGCATTTGTTTCCACATTTGTAAAGTGGCAATGATAATACACAGTTTAATTACGGCACAAAATTTTTATGAGGACTGAATGAGATGATTAACATAAAGAATTCATCACATAGTACAGGGAAGGCCCTCAATAAAATGTAGCCACTGTTAGCTTTTATTGACTCACCTTCTAGGAAACAGGTAGGTTTCATAAGAACTATGACTTACTTAATCATTTAGATGTCTTTGCTTAACCATACTAAAGAGACATAAAATATTTTTGAAGTCTTGTAAAGTCTTAGTCAGGCGGGTATGATGTGTATCACGTGCCATGGGAAGCCATGAGGACTCTCTAGATAGCTTTAGTATTTTTCAATAGTATTTTTCTGTAGACTGGTATTTTCTCAAACCTAACATGATCTGCAGATGACTTAACAGAACTAAAAAATAAAACTGAGAGGCAGGGGAAGAGGTATGTTCTCTCGTCCCACCGAGGTATGTGCTCTCGTCCCACCATAAATATCAAAAGGATTTTTTAAAAATGAATTATTCCAGTTTACATATTAGAAACGTCATAAAATTGGGACCAGCAGATCATGTAATGATTATGTCACTGGATTCCCATGAAGTTGACCATCAAGTCCAGGTCCCGGTAACTTAAAACTCATGCCAGGCGCATGTGCGTACGTGCCCAAGATCCCGAAAGGAGAATGGAGGAGAAGGGACTGCAGTGTTGCAATCCCCCCCCAGAGGATGATTTCTTACTTTCTCTCTGTCTCTCTGGTGAGCGCATGTGCCCTATAGCCAAAATCTCTCTAAAAAAAAAAGAAAGAAAGAAAGAAAAAACAAGAGAAATGTCATAAAATTCATCATTTATTCAGTTTTCTTTCTGGACCCCGTTCTCAGCATTATCTAAGCATCTTGAGAACAAACTCATTCAGAAAAAACAGCAGCCCAACTCTGCAATGTATGGCTTACTTCAAGTTGCCTGATGGAAGATTCTCTCTCATGAATGAGACGGAGATCATCCTCTGTAATTTCTTCATCCTGCACCTGCACTTGAGGTTGAGTTTGGCTAACAGAAAGGAAAGAGTATGGAGAAAAAAAAGTAATACTGGTATTCAAAACAGCAGACTTATTTCCTATTTCAGAAAAACTTAATAAGATATTTTCGTTCTTCGAAATCATAGAGCAGCTCACTTAAAAAATTCTAAGATTTAAAATATATTAATTAAATTTCACTCATTTTCCATCCTACTTATCTTATCTTATATGGATTTAGAGTAATATGTAATTATAGGAAGCTACATTTGGCAAGCTATATTTGATCTCGCAACTGGGCATTTCATTTTGGCTGACTTAAATCTCCCAGAAAGGAATAATCTATACTAGTAATTAAGTCAATAAATATTTATTTTATAATAAAAACTGTAAATAATTGTTTTAAATTTGGTCTGTTTTCCATTTATAAATAATAGCATATTTATGATATAATACACTGAAAACTTTAATTTTGTTCAAATCTATAATATATAAAATGCATTTTAAAATTTATTTTTTGATCCACAGAATGTTTTCTATTTCTTACCTTTCCCAGGATACAAGATTCCTTTCTTTTGAGCTGTCCTCTGGAAATCCACCCTGAATAATTCAGTAATAGGAGGATTAAGGCAAAGAAAGCAAGAACAAAAAAAATAGATAACACATTTTCTAATAATCTAAGCCATTTCTGTATATGTGTATGGAAACAGAGTGAGAGAAGTTCTTGCTCTAATTTTTAGGTCTACTGCTTCAAGAAATAATAAAATTACATCCTAAACTCGAAAGGAAGGAATTCATTAAATATTCTCAAGAGCCAACTATTTTATTAAAACTTAATGTAGTCTTGGAGCCTCTTCATTAAAAAATAAAGAAATGGGGCCAGGAGGAGGCATGGTGGTTGAAAAGCTGGATTCCCACATAGATATCAGCGATTTGAGCACTGGACCTGGTAGCTTGAAAATCACACTGGGTGCATGTGTGTGTGCCCAAAAATCCTGAGAGAAGACTGAAGGAAAAGGACTGCAGCATGGTCATCCTCCCTGGAGGGGTGAGTTCTCACTTTCCCTTTCTCTGTCTCCATTTGGAGAGTACACATGCCCTATGGCAAAAAAAAAAAAAAAAAAAAAAAACCTAAAAGTTAAATTAAAAAAAAGTAAAGAAATAACTTCGGATAGTTTCTAAGGGAATTTACAATTAGATTAACTGCAAATTCCACTTTAAACAATTTTTCCCTTTATTTTCTCCAGGTTCCTATTCATTTCCAGTGTTCGTGTAATATATCCACTCTGCTTATTGCCATCCTGTTCATATCGTAAGAGTAAAGTGCTACCTTCACTAGCAGATACACATGTGGAAAGCCTAGAGTACCCACTCAAGGTGAAACTACTATTCAGGATTTCATCCCTAATCCTTCTTGACAAAATATGTTTCTATACTTTTATATAATCCGTAACCTTTTATTCCATTACACAGACAAATAACCACAGTGATATATACCCATCGTGATCCTTAAAAATTGAGCAAGAAAGTCTGAAAAATATTCAAATGTTGATTTCCAAAATATGCGTTGTTCTTTGTGATTCAAAAAAAAGTTAATGTAGACTTTTATGAGACCCTTAAAGAATAGCAAGTTCATTTATAGAATGCTTTTTAAAATACTTACGGATACTCTGGAACTGGCTCTTACTCGAGCAACAAACTCTTTTTCTCTCTCAGCAGCTTGCCTCTGGACCTTCTGGAAGTTTGTCAGCGACGTTGTGAATTCAGCCACTAAACGATCCTTCTGTATTTTCCTTTGACGCTAGAGGAAAGGGAGCAGGGAAGCTCACTAGAATCAAGCTGAGAAGCTCAATAGCATGTGTGATAGTTGTTTTAGCACTAGCTGCTCTTTATTTAATCCTGAAATTTTCGCTCACTCTGCAATTACAGGGCCTTACTGATTAACTCTTAATACCTTTTTGACAATATATTCAAGGACTGTGCATAGTTACTTTGAGACAAAGGCCCACCATGCTGGATTTCTCATTGCAAATTTCACAGCATTAAAATCTAGGTCATGATTTTGAAGTTATTCTAAAGAAGTTCTTTTATTTTATTTTTAGGCAAATAAAACCCTGTGCTCTTACCTAAGAAATAACTCCCATTAAGTAAGCAAAGAAATGAATATGTGCCCTTAGGAAATCATCTTGGATGAATGTGCATGTCACATGGACTTGGTCCTGGAGAGCCAGGAAACAATTACTCAGGAAACATTTTCTGAGCCTCACTTAATTACGGATCAGGGCAACAGCATTGGAAATAATTTTTGCTTTACTGAACCACAGGATACTACCTGAGTAATTAAACATAGTTTTGTATTCTGTGAACTAATCTCAAATACAATTTTTTGTCTCCCAATTTCCTTTATAGCATAACAGTTCAAAGAGCCTACAATGCATTTGGTTTCTTTCACATTCAATACATCAGTGATGTGGTGTAAAGCTAGATACCTGTTCACTGGGCGTGGTGGGCAGCGATCCAAACTCTTTAATGTACTTATCTGTTTCTTTGGCAAGTTGGTTAGTATATTGCTGCTTCTGTTGCCTAAAGTAAGAAAACAGGTATTACAGTCAAAGAAATAGTAATACTTCTTTAAGCTACCACTCTGCCACTAGAATCAAGTCTGGCGAATAGTTTATAAAAATATTCACAATTGCTTTTCTATAGGCTGGCTCTACACTTGACCAAAATAAAATGTTCACATTCTATTCTTAGAAAGCTACCGTTACCTGGCAGTTTCTTCACTCATGCAGGATAGGCAACTCAGAAAGGAATATCAGTAGCCATTTAGAAACGCACATTACTCGAGTCAGTACACTTAGAGACTGTTGGATGTCTGATCCCTTATGTTTGAGATATGAAGGCTGTGGGGGTCTCTTATCTGCGTCCCAATCCCTGGAAGGCCAGCTGAACAAGTACAGATTTGCTGCCTTAGACTCTGCCCAGTTCTCAGATTTTTTTTTTTTTTTGGAGAGGTTTTTGCTATAGGGTGCGTGCGCTTGCCAGACAGAAAGAGAGAGACATAGAGACAGAAAGCGAGAAATCACCCCACAGGGGGGGATGGCCACACCGCAATCCCTTCTCTTCCATTCTCCTTTCGGGATCTTGGGCACGCACACACATGCACCCAGCGTGAGTTTTAAGCCACCGGGTCTGGGACACGAACCG